TAATACACGAGTTTCACAATTTGAGTTGAATTACTGAAATAAATGAACTTTTCCACGACATTCAAATCTATTGAGATGCACCTGTATGTATGTACCAAGTGTTCCTGTAAAACCACAACAAATTCCTTGTGTTCGCGCACACTGAAGTGGCGAATAAAGCGCATTCTGATTCTGATTCTAATAAGAAAGCACCCCTACAACAACTTCTGAAAATGAACGGTAGTGTTTTACTCAAGCATTACATAAAAATTTCATTTTAACATGAGTTTAGGAACTGAATAATAAAAAGGAAAAATAAAACACTGAGTAGTATTTACTCTTTGAATTCAATATGCACCGATTCTTATTTAAGCTACAGAAGTTATTTAGGTAAGAGCAGTGAGTGATTTTCTCTTTGTCTTTTGTTCATGGCCCCAAATATTGCAAGCTGTAGCGATATGCATATTGCGATATGTACATTTGTGATATTTCGATATATTGCACAGCCCTATTGGTTACTATGGTTACCTACTTGGTATGTCTGCAAAAAAGGCAAAGCTTATGAGCTGAAGAGCACCATTTCCATGGTCAAACATGGAGGTGGACCAGTCTTGTTATGGGGATGCTTTGCTGTTGCACTAAGTGGAAATCTTGACTGTATGAAGGATATCATGGATCAATATCAGGCAATTTTGGCAAAGATTGGGATGATCATCCTGTTGGAAAGTTCAATGATCATCAAGCTTCTGTCTATGCTCCGAAGGCATCACAAAATATACATCCAAATCTACTGGAGTTTAGTTCAGAGATTGGTCGTAGAATGTTTGTAAGTGGTCTGTTCAGTTTCCAGATTCAAATCTCATTGGAAATACTTGGTGGAATTTTAATAAAGCAGTGGCAGCCCTGACCTGCAAGACATTCTGCTGCCATGAACAAAATTTTATGGAAAAAAAAAATTTTTTCACCCAGAAATAAAATTTCTGTCATTATTTACGCATCCTTCTTTTCACTGAGGTTTCTTGAAAGTTTGGTTGATATTTCTCCACACTGCTGCCTGTGGTCTGTAGAGAATAGTACAGTCGAGTACATAGTATAAATGCCTCCTCGCAGTGACTTTGAGGTGCACACACCTTCTGCTGTGGTTTGTGCCAGAACGAATGTGTCAGACTTAACAAGACTTAACTTGTGCACATACTACACTGACATTGAATCTTCAGATTGGTGCTCGATCAATGACCAAATCTTAAACTTTTACATTTGATCTCCCTTCCAGGCTTACGTATTTGGTTACAGTTTGGTGCCAGATAACAACCCAAGTAACTCTTACTTAAATTTACCAAGGTAAATAATACTTTAATCTTCAAAATTGTATAGGCAGTATTCGGTAGTCTTTGGTACGGATGTGTCCCTGCTGGTCATATGGCCTGGGAAAACCAAAAGCAAGTTCAGACACTCACACAGGGCAGGGCTTTATATTGCACCCCCTACACACACACATTATGCAGTAGTATGCTAACGAGTTTTATCCAAAGCATTCATTGAACCCTAACCCATGCTGGGTCAGCACTAGCAGCTGCTGTTCAGGTGCTTAGTCAGCTGAGAGAGACAGGTAGGGTTTGAATGTGTTTGAATGTGTGTTCATGTGAATGAGACAGCAGGTCTGGGACCAAATGCAACAGAGCTGATGGTAACCGCCCCATGACCCGAAGTACATCAGTCAGCAGGCAGAGGCTCGGCCTCTCTCTGTTTCTCTCTCTCTCTGTGTTCTGCTCTGTTTATGTGCAAGCACTTAATTGGTCTGCGTTGTTGACGTGAATTACTGCACCCGCTGCTGTTGTTAAAAGTTCTCTGGTATTTTCTTACCCATCAGAGAATTTGCTTTGTTGTTATCTTTGTTATGCCATGCACAAGCACTTGTGTGAGATTTTTCAGAGTTACGCATTTTACCTTCTCGGGTGATTGATTTCTTATGTGTTTCAGTCTTGAGTCACTTTATGTGGATGGATTTTAAAGGATTCACAATTTCCTAATAAAAAAGTACTTGAAACGATGGGATGATAATGTCTGTGAGGTAAATCAGATCAAATCACAATTTTATCTGTGATACAATGGCACCAAAATGTATTAGGGCACTTCACCCTTAATATATTGATTGCATTCATCTTTCCTGTTGGAAAGGTCAGTGATCATCAAGCTTCAGTTAATCAGGCATCACAAAATATGCATCCAAACATATACAGTATATCAAACTCTTTAAACAAATATACCGTACAATACATTTTCTTGGATTTACTTTTAAAAAGTTTGTTTTAATTCATGTTTGATGTCTTTTCCAGTGTTTTTTTTTTTATATCACTGTTCAAAACAATTGTGCTGATTAATATTTTTGTTATAACAGTGATATATTTGGTAACAATTTATTTTGATAGTCCACTTTAGACATTTGCATCTACATGTCAACTAGCAGTCATTAGAATATTAGTAGACTGTCTGCTTAATATCTTTGAACACTGTATTTTGATGGGTCCACAACATACAACATAATGACTATAAGAAACTTTGCAAGTATATGTCAACTTATTCTACTAACCCTAAACCTAACCTAACAGTCTACTCTAAGAGTTAGTAGACATGTAGTTGCAAATTAATGAGAATTAGTTGACATGTAGTTGCAAAGTTACTTATAGTTAGTAGAATGTCTAAAGTGGACTATCACAATAAAGTGTAACCATATATTTTACTTTGATAAATTGAATGCTTAAAGGAACAGCATTTATTTTAAATAAAACATCTTTTGTAACATTGTAAATACATTTTCTGTCACTTTTGATAAATTGAATGCATCCTTGCTGAAATAATTAATATTTTTGATTTTTGTGGCCTATGCATCAACACTTTATAATTAAAATACTACTACTAATAGTAATGTTTTTAACTGTGGCTTTTATGCATTTTAGCCCACTGTGTTTATGTACTTAAGCTCTGTCCCAAATAGTCTGAAACTAGCCTACCAGCATCCATGCAAATGGCCTGTTTACTGTGTCATTATACAGTCTGCTTTAGAGGTTGGGAACTATGCTGACTGGATTACTCTGCACCGCAGTGAACTCATTGTCTTTCCAGCAGGTCAAATTAGTTTACGCTTGGGCATCTTGTTTTTACCATTATTAACCTTTCTCAAGAATCTGTTTTGCATTTTGAATTATTCTCTGGAATACTGCACATTAAAACAGGGATGAATGTGGTTGACATCAGTGCACAACACTGTCTGCCACTACAAACAAATTATTAAAACACACACACACACACACACACACACACACACAA